TTGCAGCTGGATCTCGTAAATCGTATTGGAGTGGCTGCATGAAGGCTGCGACAGTGATTTGTCAGCAGATTTTCTCCATTTTGGCGCCAGCGATTTTCTTTTTAAAAATCCTTTTGAAAAGTGCTTCAAAATCGTCTTTTTTTTCGCTTTGGCGTCGAGATCCGGTTTTGGAGCTGCAATTTCCGACCCAGTTGCGCGTATTTCTATTGTGTTTCGCAACTCAGTCTCTGCAGATCGCATTGTGATGGCTGCGTCAAGGTTGCTTGGTGCCGCGGCTGCATGCGCAATACTATTGTCTTTTGCAGCTGGACTTCGTAAATCGTAATGGAGTGGGTGCATCAAGGGTTCGACAGTGATTAGTAGTAGTGCTGGGAATTGATTAATGAAAGCTTAATAGATGACATATGAGAAGGGACGAGATGAGAAGAGATGAGCTGGGATAAGGTGAGAAGAGCTCAGATGAGATGAACTGTGGAGTGTGAAGAGTGTAGTGTGAAATGTGGGGCGTGAAGAGTGCAGTGTGAAGTGTGAAGTGTGAAGGAAGCAGTGAGAAGTGAGAAGTGAGAAGTTTGGAGTGTGAAGTGTGAAGTTTGGAGTGCAAAGAGTGCAGTGTGAAGTGTGGAGTGTGAAGAGTGCAGTGTGAAGTGTACAGTGTGAAGGAAGCAGTGGGAAGTGAGAAGTGTGGAGTGTGAAGTTTAAGTTTGGAGTGCGAAGAGTGAGTGTGAAGTGTGAAGTGTGAGGTTTGGAGTGTGAAGGCAGCAGTGAGAAGTGAGAAGTGTGGACTGTGAAGTGTGGAGTGTGAAGTGCGAAGTTAGAAGTGTGAAGTTTGGAGTGTGAAGGAAGCAGTGAGAAGTGTGAAGTGTGGACTGTGAAGTGTGAAGTGCGAAGTGAGAAGTGTGAAGTGTGAAGTGTGAAGTTTGGAGTGTGACGGGAAAGCAGTGAGCAGTGTGAAGTGTGAAGTGTGGGGACTATGAAGTGTGAAGTGAGAAATGAGAAGTGTGAAGTGTCAAGTTTGGAGTGTGAAGGAAGCAGTGAGAAATGAGAAGTGTGGAGTGTGGAGTGTGAAGTGTGAAGTGCGAAGTGAGAAGTGTGAAGTGTGGACTGTGAAGTGTGGAGTGTGAAGTGCGAAGTGAGAAGGAAGCAGTGGGAAGTGAGAAGTGTGAACTGTGAAGTGTGAAGTGTGGAGTGTGAAGTGTGGAGTGTGAAGTTTAAGTTTGGAGTGCGAAGAGCGGAGTGTGAAGTGTGAAGTGTGAGGTTTGGAGTGTGAAGGCAGCAGCGAAAAGTGAGAAGTGTGAAGTGTGGAGTGCGAAGTGTGGAGTGTGAAGTGTGAAGTGTGAAGTTTCGAGTGCGAAGAGTGCAGTGTGAAGTGGGGAGTGCGAAGTGTGAAGTGTGGAGTGCGAGTCTCTGGTACCAAAGCTCAGTGCGCAGAATGGCTCAACATCTTGCACAGCAACAGTACGTGATCTTGCCGCAGAGGGATCAACTCTAGTTTGACTGCCGAGGGCTGGGTGTGCGTTGTTGTGAACCGCATCCGAGTCTGAATTGCTGTGCTTCAGTAACTTCGCTTTTCATGTCGAGTTGCAGACGGCAGAATGCCTCTGTCACTTAATTTTGGTTTCTGTGTGCGTTGTTACGAACCGCACAAGAAACCATGATCGTATTGCATACATGTGACAAAAAAAAGGATCTTTTAGATTTTGGCTGCTTTCATTTTCTATTTCAAATCAACTTTTTCTGCTCTGGCGTTGAAGTGTGAAGGAAGCAGTGGGAAGTGTGAAGTGTGAAGTGTGAAGTGTGAAGGAAGCAGTGGGAAGTGAAAAGTGTGAAGTGTGGAGTGTGAAATTTCAGTTTGGAGTGCGAAGAGCGCAGTGTGAAGTGTAAAGCGTGAGGTTTGGAGTGTGAAGGAAGCAGTGAGAAGTGAGAAGTGTGAAGTGTGGACTGTGAAGTGTGAAGTGTGAAGTGTGAGGTTTGGAGTGTGAAGGAAGCAGTGAGAAGTGAGAAGTGTGAAGTGTGGACTGTGAAGTGTGAAGTGTGGAGTGTGAAGTTTCAGTTTGGAGTGCGAAGAGCGCAGTGTAAAGTGTGAAGTGTGAGGTTTGGAGTATGAAGGAAGCAGTGAGAAGTGAGACATGAGAAGTGTGAAGTGTGAAGTGTGAGTGAAGTGTGGGGTGTGAAGTGCGAAGTGAGAAGTGTGAAGTGTGAAGTTTGGAGTGGGAAGGAAGCAGTGAGAAGTGAGAAGTGTGAAGTGTGGAGTGTGAAGTGCGAAGTGAGAAGTGTGAAGTTTGGAGTGTGAAGGAAGCAGTGAGAAGTGTGGACTGTGAAGTGTGAAGTGTGGACTGTGAAGTGTGGACTGTGAAGTGTGGACTGTGAAGTGTGGATGTGAAGTGCGAAGTGAGAAGTGTTAAGTTTGGAGTGTGAAGGAAGCAGTGAGAAGTGTGGACTGTGAAGTGTGAAGTGTGGACTGTGAAGTGTGAAGTGTGCAGTGTGAAGTGTGAAGTGTGAAGTGTGAGGTTTGGAGTGTGAAGGAAGCAGTGAGAAGTGAGAAGTGTGGAGTGTGAAGTTTGAAGTTTGGAGTGCGAAGAGTGCAGTGTGCAGTGTGAGGTGTGGAGTGTCGAGGGAAAGACACGGTCGGGACAGGATGTCTTTGAACTATAGGTCATTTATGTTTGGGAAACTTCCGCCGCCGGCTTGCCCGGGTCTATGTTACTTGCCGATGTTAATTAGGAGTGAAGGAGTGGGTTTGAGGCTGCAAAATCGAAGGGAAAGAGGAAAAAACCAAAAACAAAGAACAAACATGCATTTTGTTTCCGACTATGTTGTCTAAAATTGTATGTTTGGGAGGGGGGGGCAGGGCGGTCAAT